CAGCTGCAGAGGCGGAAGACAGAATTGGCTTCACGCAGCTCGAAGGATCTAGAGAGCCTGTGGGGAGCCACCGCAAGGGGGCTGATTCATGCGTTTTGTCGCAATTCTTCTCCGCCGCCCCTCGCAAAAAGCCGCACATCCTCTACGCATACGACAGTGACCTCCTGCGTGCCTTGCAGCGATCCGAGGCGTACATTGCGCATCTTGAGAGGTACTGTCATGAGCACCTTCCCTGTTTTTCTCCATCGGCGTTTTTTGCGTCTCACTATCTGCATGGAAGCCCATGTAGCGAGACGTGGAGTTCCGCTCTTGCTGGTACTGCACTCGACGGCGACACCGCGTCGTACGTCCCTCTTAGCCCGTACATCCGCACCATTATGTGATGCGCCATCACAATGACGCGGCTTTCACGGAAAGACATGATCGGACTAAGTAAGTAAGTAGGTATGAATGACGGAAAAGAAGAAGCTGGTGGGCGTAGATGCTATAGGGGCGGAGGGATTGGATGAATCACAGGTGTCTCTCTGTGTGTGTGTATGTATGTATGTATGTATGTAAAAGAGAGGGAAGAGGGAGGGGGAAAGCATTTCCATGCATGTGCGGTTTTATTTTCTCTTTTTCACAATTATTTTTATTTGTGTTTTTTTCTCTGTTCTTCTCCCCCTCCTCTTTTATAGGGATTTTCAGTTTATTTGTTTTTTTTTTTTTTTTTTTTTTTTTGCGGCACGTACGATTGAAATGCTTGCTGCTTTGCCTCTTTTTGTCTGTGTATGTGTGCATGCGTGTGTGCCGTCGACTTATATTTTTTTTTTTACAAAATGAATTGAGCGTGACTTTTTTACCCTCCCGCCCTTACAAACACGTGCGTGTGTGTAGATACTTATGCATGTAAATGGCAATGGACACGGATGCCTACATCCACCTACACGTATTGCTGTGCATGCACGTGTCATATTGGCGACTCTCCATTCCTTTTGGTGTTGTTATCATCATTCACTACAGTCATGCATTTTATTTTTATTTTTATTTTTATTTTTGTTACTGTGCGTGTTTCTCAGAGGGAGGAAGTGAGGGGCATCCACACCCGTCCGTCTTTCTTTCTTTCTGTAGGGAAAGAAATAAATAAATAATTATTAAATAAAAAAGTGAGCGTTTAAAAAGGCGAAAATAAAATAAAAGAAAAAGAAATATAATAATTTCTTTTTGTTCGGTTGCCACACCCGCCACCACACGACTCATTTTTTTCTTTTTGTTTTCTTTCCTTTCCCGCCCCTTCTTCCTTCCATTCCTTCACTCACAATTCTACGGGAGGCACGCAAATAAATTGGCGGAGTGAAGGAGGGCGGGATGAAAATTAAAAAGAAGGAGCTCCGCAGGCGGGAGGCGCAGTTGCCCATAAATTACCCCCACCCGGAGGTGGCGGACGCGTCCGTCAGCGTTGAGGCCGCCACCTTCAACGCGGAGGAGACTCGTGTGGAGGCCATCTGCAGGCGGCTGGCGCACAACGAGGTGGCCGTGCGTGACGCGGTTTTGGCCGAACTGCCGCGGTACATTCGCAGCGTGACGCAGCGGCTGGTGGGACTGGAGGCGTGCGTGGATGTGGCCGCACTGCGTCGCTTCATCGTCATGCAGAGCGGCGGTAAGGGTGGCAGGTGCGGCACAAGCGGCGGGGGTACGGGCGGGGAGAAGCGGGTGGTGATTAATGTGCTACGGGAGCTGGAGGCGTACCGTAACCGCGAGGAGAATGCACGACGAGAGCAAAGACGTCAGGCGGCAATTCGGCGTCTGCAGCAGGAGCGGCAACAGGCTGCGCGTGGTGGTGATAACAATAACAGGGATGATAACAACAAAAACAAAGACAATAATAATAATAATAATAACACTGGTGATAAGAATTACATGGCGGCGGAGAAGGAGGGGGAAGAGGAGCCTAAAATGCGGGATGCAGAGCGCAAGAGCCTGCGGCAGATATACGGGGAATGGATTTCTGTGTGGTGCGAGATGGAGCTGGTGCTGCTGAAGCTCTCCCGTGGTTTGTTCTTTTGTCTCTGGCACTCTGACAAGCCGCTCGTGCAGCTTGAGTGTGCGCAGCGCATCGCTCGTCTCATTCACGTTCCTCACACGAACAGCGGTAAAATCCTTTTGTTCAGTTGTCTCATTCGTGTGCTTATGCGAGAGTGGCGTTCAATGGATCGCCACCGCGCCGACAAGTTCCTCGCGTTAGTGCGGAAGATGATATATGAGCTGGCGTGCCTGCTGGAGTCCCTGGAAGCGGAGACGCGGCTGCAGCGGCAGAGAGGAG